ATGAGGATGACGAGGAGGAGGAGTAGCAGGAGGAAGACGAGGAGCAGGAGGAGGAGGAGGAGGAAGAGGACGCGCAGGAGGAGGTGGAGGACGATGAAGAGGATGCGGAGGAGGAGGCGGAGGAGTACGATGCGGATGATCATGATGCTGATGAGGCGGATGCTGCTGCTGCTGCTGATGATGATGATGATGATGCTGATGATGATGATGATGATGATGATGATGATGATGATGATGCTGCTGCTGCTGCTTCTGATGCTGATGTTGATGACGATGATGCTGCTGCTGATGATGATTGTGATGCTGATGTTGCTGATGTTTATGCTGAAATTGTTTCTGTTGCTGGTGATGATGCTGATTATGTGATGCTGAGGATGATGAGGCGGAGGAGGAGGAGGTGTAGGAGGAGGATGAGGAGACGTAGCAGGAGGAGGAGGAGGCGGATCAGGATGAGGAGGATGAGGAGGCGGATGAGGAGGATGAGGAAGAGGCGGAGGAGGAGGAGGCGGAGGATGAGGAGGAGCATGCTGTTTCTGATGGTGATGGTGATGATGAAGCTGATGATGATGCTGATGGTGATGCTGATGATGCTGATAATGACCATTATGAGAGTGCGTGCACAGTAATGACGACACGGGGGCCGTACTGTGACACGAGTAGGGGGAAGGTAGCAGGAGCGTCGCGTGCCTCGCCCGTCCCGTGCTCATAGCCTTCTGTTGTTCAGGGGGTTCGCTAGCGCCGCCCGCCGCCGCCGCGCCAGCCCGTGCATTCCCAAGTGGCTCGCGGACGCTGTGCTGGAGGCTGCGCAGGGGACACTGCAGACGGCGGGCACCGCGAGCCTGGTGTGTGCTGAGCAGACCGCGCAGTCGGCGCCCGACCGCAGCAGGTGGTGGATCGTCACGGTGGTGGTCGCGGGCCTCTTCGGGCGGGCAACGAGCTGCTGCGCTGGGGCTCTGTTCGGCTCGGGGCTTCGCCGGGCGGTGCATGGCCGATTCGAAGCCGATCGCACCAGGACGCTTGATTCTGGTGTGGTACGGTGGCGGGGAGGCATACTGGCACGAGCGCCTCCTGCTCTGCAAGGTGCGGGGAACGACGTGGATCATCGTCACTCCTGATGGCGATGTCTATCCAGAGGACATTCGGGCTCTCGGAGGCAGGCCGTGCCTTCAAGGGTCCGTGCCGCCGGCGATCCCGGCCGACGCCATGCTGTACAGATTCCCGCCGCTCGGCCAGCTGCACACGGCGGCGGAGTGGCGGCAGATTTTCGACGACGGGATCGCGGCCGCCCAGCTGGAGAGGGCTGGGCTGGGCATCGACGACGACGCTGCTGATGCTGAGTCTGGTGCTGTGCGTGATCGGGTGGGTCAACACGGCTGGACCGCCGACACGGGCCTGCCGGCTGGGCCTCCGCCCGCCGCCGCCGGCGCTGGGGCCGGGGTGCTGGTGGCAGACGTGGGCGCGGCTCCCGTGGCCGGCGGCCTGGCCGCGCCGCCTGCTGTGCCGCTCGCCGCCGTGGGTGGAGGCGCTGCCATCCCGGGGGCTGGAGCAGCCGTGGGGGCCGTGGTGGCGCCCGGAGGCGGCCTCGCCCCTGGCATGCAGTGGATCGTGGTGGCCAACGACGGCCACCCGGGGGCGCCCTCCATCGGGACCGACTGGAGCGTGGACGCCACTGCCGTCGTCATGGGCAAGTTCGCGCTGGTCAAGCTCGGGTCTGCCACCCTCGTGCTGGAGAGCATCGCGGTCGGCAGTCAGGAGGCCGCGGCTTAAACTGACCCCCCCCTTTGCATAATTCCGTCCAAGAAAAGCCGAAATGTAGCCGTGCCCTGTGGGCGAGCAGCTTTCCTGCGAGCGTGGCTTTTTTCATTGAGCGAGCAGCTTTTCTGCGTGCGCGAGTGGCTAGAGCTTCGGCACGTTTGAGTGTCGGGCGCGCCGGTCTGCTCTAGCGCAGCCCGTGCGAGCTTCAACCCGATTCGACTGCGGATCTGTGCGTGCGCCATCGCTCCATGATGCGTTCTGCGAGCTTCAGGACATGGCGTGTTTTTTGTTGTCGCTGTGATGATGCGCGCGCCCCGCACGGGCGCCTTCGTCTGCCCTGGCCGATTGGGTGGGCACTGCAAGATCTTGCAAGGTTTAGGGGTCTCTCGCGCTTTTCGTCGGTCCGGGTCTCTTCGCGGTTTTCGCGCTCACGGGCGTCCAGCGGGATCGCCCGTAAGATGCAGGTGGCGCGCGCCTTTCCCCCGTTCGTTTGTTGCTATTTTGGTTGTGCGGGAAAATGACAGTCCGTTTTATTGCAATACAAGCACATAGAAATCATCAGCAAAAAACCTTCCCGCTCATCCCGCGCCCTTGGACTCCCTCCCACGGCAATCACCCCCCACAAGACCAGCCCCAATATGCACTTTGATGGCGGGGGCTTATGTGACCCCGACGTCGGGTTCACTCATTCGTTTCTTTGCCATGGCTCCTCCACCCTTCATCCTTCCTTGGTCCTCCCTCCTCCCTTCTCGTCCCTCTCTCCTCGTTCCTCCCTCATCCTCCCTCCTCCCTCCCTCCTCGCTCCTCCCTCCTCCCTCTTCCCTCCTTCGCCCCCCTCCTACCTCCTTCGCTCCCTTCCTCGTCATCCGAACCATGGATAATCTTCAATGCCAGACAACTCGATTGAAGGCCATTCCCAGTGCTCCCATAGCATTTTGGCCTCATGTTTGCCTCGCCTGCGCCTCGGCTGTCCCGCGGCTGTCCCGCGGCTGTCCCGCGGATGTCCCGCGGCTGTCCCGCGGCTGTCCCGCGGCTGTCCCGCGGCGGGCCGCGGCTTTACTGGCCCGGGCCGCAGCTTTATTGCCCGACGGCCCGCTTTGCTTCGGCTGTCCCGCGGCTGTCCCGCGGCTGTCCCGCGGCTGTCCCGCGGCTGTCCCGTGGCTGTCCCGCGGCTGTCCCGTGGCTGTCCCGCGGCTGTCCCGGCGCAGTCTGGCGCTGTCATATTACACTTGAACATGTGTTTTCGGTCGCCAATACCAGCGGCACGCGGCACTCCGTCCGGCCCCACACAGTCGGTATCATCATTATAGTTGCATTGCTGCCTGCGGACACTGCTCGGAACAACGAGAAGGCGACACCAACTTGTTCATAGTATTGTCATTAAAGGAGTTGGGTTTCCCGGGGGCCTCCTGGGGGAGCGCCGTGGCCACTTGGAGCCGCCTTGGGGCGGCCGCGGGGCATCTCGGAGGCAAATTGGAAGGTATCTTGAACGACGTTGGGTGCTCATGAGTCATATTTGAGGTCATCATGGGCTTTCTGGGGCCGTCGCGGAGCCATTTTGGGCCATCTTAGGCGCTCTAGCCCATCGCGGGGGAAGAGCTTCAGACCCATGGTTTTAGGAAGAGGGCGACGCATGGGGGGGCAAAGCGATTCCCTGAGTCCATTCACGCCGATCGCTTCCAGTGAAAGTTCATGTGCGCGCCATTGTATTCACGCACGCGTTCTCGTGTGTGCGTGTTCAGTTGCGCGCGTTTTCTCGCGCGCGCATGCGTTTCCACACTGCCCTCCAATTATTGGCCATGTGTGTCTCGCCGTTTCGACCTACCGACGCCTGTTCTTACTGATGTTTGTAAGAGATCACATGCCCCGGAATTTCCTACACCTGTTCAACAACCAGGGCATGCATTCAATTGCGCATGCACCTGCCGTTTCACACCGAGTTATATATGCCCGGACTTGCGTGTGCATATTGTGCCGTCTCGGCGCTCTCTTGTCGTTCGCCCTCCACGTTGCTTTCCTTTTCTGTGTCCGCCAGGTCCGTGACCGTGTCTGTTCCTGTCAAGGATGTAGTTCCTATGGATATCCCCTTCGTGGAAGATCGTCCCTGTGTCGCCGACATGCTACCCCGTCGCTGTGTTACAGCAGTGCTGCAGCTGCGCAGCCGTCCTCAGTCGTGCTGCTGCGGCTATGTCGCGGCGTCCCGCGGCGATGCCGCCCAAGAGCCCGCTTTGCTTCGGCTGCCCCGCGGCTGTCCCGCGCGCCCTTTTCAGCGCAGGGCGGGGTCGCCTCGACGAGCGCAAGCCGCGGCCTCCTCAGTCGGCAGCAAGAAGAATATGCTGGTCTCGAGGAAGGGCGAAGTCGAGCAGGCGGTGGTCCGAGCTTCGGGGGCAGGTCTGCCAGGAGCTGGTCTCGGACCTCAGGCGATTGGAGACGGGACGGCGGCTGCAGCGCCGCTCAAGTCTTCTGGCGCCCGGGTGCTGCCGGTGCTGTACGATCAGATGGGCCAGAGGTTCAGGGCCTACTCGAACGCCGTCGGGCTGCTGGAGGAGCCGCGGTTCGACGACTTCCCTGTGGTCGGCCCGAGGACGACGCTCTGGCTGTGCAGGTTCATCAGAGACCAGGGGAGCGTGCCTCGCACCAGGACCGAGAAGTGGATGCGGGACGCCCATGTGCCGGACAACGACAGGGTCAGGCACGAGCATGGCAGTCTCATGGAGATTCTTGAGACTGCGCTCACGTATGATCAGCTGGACGTGTCTGCCCTCGCCTCCTTCGAGATCCTGTCGAGAAGGGTTCAGCTGTTGGAGGAGGCTTACACGTCCAATCCGAAGGCGCCGCGGTTCGATGGGAGCGAGCACTTCCAAGGCCTCGGCAGGAAGGTCGCGGCCGTGGCGCCGCAGCTCACCTCGCACGTGGCGTTGCAGCTCCAGGGCGAGGCTGCGATCCAGAAGGAACGACGCAAGGCCCGCGAGGAGGCGGCCCTTGCGAAGAAGAGCTAGCCGCCTCGCGGTATTTCGATTTTCGTGGTCCTACTCGGGCCGCCGCCGAGTCGCTGTCCTCTGCGAGGGCTGCGACGAGTTTTTGACCAAGGCATGGCAGACGGTCGGCAGCGTGACCTTCTACCCCTGCCTCGACATATGACTGGGAAGGCCCTCGTAGCTCACTCAGTCGTGGAGTTCAGCAACGTATTTGTCGCCGTGCTTGGATCGACAGGCGCGCCGACGAGGTTATTTGGGGTCTCAACGAGCTCGGGGGCGTTGGTGACACGTCGCCCAGCGGTCCAGGTGGTGAGCAGGCGCGCGCTGCTGCTGCCTTGGCCCGTGAAGCGGCTGGAGCTGTGCCCTTGCCTAAGGAGAGACCCGCCCCGCAAGAAGCCCTGGCGGCGCTTCTGCGTGCGGGCGCCCGCTATTGTGACAGCGAGTGTGCCGGGAACATTGCACCGTTTGGTTCGGCTACAGTATCTCTGCCAAGCCGCGACCTGCACGGGGTGGACATCTACAACGTTCTGCCCTCGGACGCGTCGCGCAAGCTCAAGCGGTTTCGCGGCGCCATCCTTCTCAGTGACGAGGAGTATGCATTGCGTATCAAGAGCGAGGGACTACCCAACCTTTACTCTGACCCAGTGCTGGAGGCACAGCCTGCGAAGTGAGAGGGTTTTTTGTCGGGATCTGCGTGACAGAGGACTGGTGCGCTGGACTCGAACCTACAAAGAAAAGGTGGGTTTGTTCTTTGTTCGCAAAAAGAGTTGTGAATTACGACTTATATGCGATGCACGGAGGACCAACATACGATTTGACATCCCAGACTCAATACAGCTTGCTACTGGCGACTCGCTCAGCCGTCTTGAGTGCGCCTCTGACCAGACCATCTTCTCGGCCAGCTTCGACATCAAGGATTACTTCCACGAGCTCAGGATCGATGAGGAATTATCTCAGTATTTTGCTCTACCAGCGGTCCGTGCCTCGGCTGTGGGGGTGGGGAGCATCAATGGTGTCAAGGTTGGTCCAAGTGAGCTCATCTACCCGGCTCTGCAGTCACTACCGATGGGCTTTTCGTGGGCAATGTGGGCGGCCCAACTTGTCCATGAGGAGCTCCTGCGGCGGGCTGGTCTTCCTCCAGCTCGCCTTCTTCGTGACGGCACGCCTCCTCCTTCGTTTGAGGGGGGGCCCGTTCAGCTGGCATACGTCGGCAACTTCGGGGTCTTCGGCTGCGACAAGGCCGAAGTTGAGGCCGCGCGCCGTCAGGCTCTCGAAGGCATTCGGCAGGCAGGCTTTCACGTGCATGAGATCGAGCAGGTCAGCGCTTCTTTGGACATCGTGGGAGTGCATCTCGATGGAGATAAGAAGGTGGTCAGGCTGTCCTCCGCCAGGGCGTGGCGACTGTACGCTGGGCTACATGCTCTTGTACGACGCGGGCGCTGCACTGGGAGGGAGATGCGAGCCGTGCTTGGGCACCTCTGCTTTGCTTTCTTGCTTCGGCGCCCTTGCCTATCCTGCATCGCGGCCTCCTTCGCCTTTGCCGAGGCGGCCGGAGGGGAGCCAAAGAACCTCTGGCCGAGCGTCAAGAGGGAGCTCCTCATCGCCGCTGCCATCCTGCCGCTGGTCTACGCCGACCTCGGGGCGGGCTGGCTCGACCAGGTGGTTGCGACGGATGCTTGCGATACTGGTCTGGGCGTCTGTGCGGCTGAGTGGGACTCTCAAGATATACGGATCACTGGCAGCTACGACGAGCGCTGGAGGTTCAAGAAGGACCCGCTGCGCAAGCACCGTGAGGTCGCCTTGGCGGGATGCGACCACGCCGACCCGCCGATCGACAGAGACGGCAACCTCGTGGCGGGCGTCAGCGAGGGCGCCTGGCTTGCCATCGGGAACTTTCCCGACGTTGCGCCTATCTCGGTCAGAGGCTCGAAGTGGGCCGTGGTCGCTAAGCGTCCCTGCGGCAGCCACGAGGGGGCGATCCACGTCAAGGAGGCGAGAGGCGCCAAGCTCGGCCTCAAGCACGTGGTTCGCTGCGGGCGCTGGCGGCACAGCAAGGTGCTCATGCTGGTTGACAATATGTCACTCGCGCTGGCCATGCAGAAGGGCCGCTGTCGCGATCCAGCCCTCCTCGGCCAGCTTCGTCAGATGGCCGCGCTGCAGCTCGCCACTGGGCTGCGGGTGCAGTGCCGCTGGATCCCGTCCGAGGTCAATCCTGCTGATCGGCCTTCGCGGCTTTGGGAACCTGCAGCTGCTGCTCTGGGCCATGCATGGCGCCCTCCTCCTGGGCTCCCTCATCCTGATGGCGGGCGTGGTATCGAGGGCGCCTGCAGCGAAACGCAGAGTGACGACAGGCATTGCGACGCGCAACGTGGCGCATCGGATCGAGGCGGCGCCGGTGATGCATCTGGATCGTCCCGACCTTCGAGTGTGCGAAGCTGTGCCACTGGAGGACGGCCAGTCGCCACAGGCCGCAGGATCAGGACCATCCGAGCAGGCGATCCTGGCCCGGCCCCCGGCGATGCGAGCCGAGCCTCGAGGCGGCTCGCGGAGATCGCGAGTCACAACCTCGACAAGGCTGGCTGCCGCCCGGCGGTCGGCCAGCAGCGGGGGCCTCTCCTACCTCGAGAGCATCGCTGTGAAGCCCGTCCAGATCGAGGATTACCACAGACGGTTCGAGGAGTTCTACGAGTACGCCCGCCGCCAGGGCTTGAACGTCAGCACCTTGGACTCGCTGGAGACGGCCCTCCTGGACTGGGCGGGCGAGGCGTATCTCGAGGGCAGGAAGAAGCACGATGGCGAGAAGCTGAAGGCCGCTGTGCTCCACTACTACCCGAACCTGAAGCGGCCCAACACCAAGCCGCTGGCCAGGTTCGAAAGATGCTTGAAGGCCTGGGGACGCCGGAGGCCCGCGCTGGGCCGTCTGCCACCCCCGTACCCGACGATCTGTGGCCTGGCTGTGGCTCTCCACCTCCTGGGCCGCACGGACATGGCTGTAGCCTTGCTGGTCGCGCTGAGCGCCTACTTGCGGCCAGGGGAGTTGTATGGGCTCCGCGTTCGGGACGTCGTCCCACCCGCGCTTGGCTACGGGCCAGAGTACCAGAAGTGGTCGCTGATCCTGGGGCCTTCGGACAGCAACGGAGGCCCCACCAAGACGGGCGTCTACGACGACAACGTGACGATGGACCACGAGAACCTGCAGTTCCTCGACCACTTCTTCGAGCTGTACCGCCAGGGAAAGGGGTCGAGCGACCCGCTGTGGGGCTTCACGCAGGCGGAGTTCGGGGCCATGATCGCGAAGGCGCTGAAGGTGTGCCAGCTCGAGGGCCTGGGGATCGCCCCCTACAGCCTTCGGCACGCGGGCCCGTCGTGGGACGTCATCGCGGGCAGGAGGTCGCAGCTGGAAGTCCAGCGTCGCGGGCGCTGGGCCAGCATGAGCTCTCTCATCAGGTGCGAGAAGTCCAGCAAGGTCAATTCCCTGCTCGTGAGCCTGGACGACAGCGCCCAGGAGTACCTCAGGCTCGGCACGGCGCACCTTGGAGGCATCCTCCTCGGCACGGTGAGCGCGCCCCGACCGCCTGGCTGGAGCGAGGCGACATCTTCCTCGACATCTTCGCTGGTTCCGAGGGAGTCGGCAAGGCGGTGGCAAGGTGTGGCATCTCGTCGCTAGAGGTGGAGCTCGAGCTTGGGATCGACATTTTTGCGTCTGGAGTGATGAAAACACTCCTGAACTTGATCCGCTCGGGCCGCGTGCAGGGGATATTCGTGGCTACGCCATGCCGCTCATTCAGTATAGCCAGAAGAGCACCTCCCTCCTCACCTATGCCGAGTGCTGTTCGTTCTCCTGAGTGTATTTGGGGCTTTTCCAACCTCTCGGATCTAGATAAACACGTCTGTCTCGAAGGCAACCGGCTCGCTAAAGCATCACGCAAACTCGTTCGGCAAGCTATTCGATACGGAGTACCGCTCATGATCGAGAGCCCTGCCTCTTCTATGCTCTGGCTCGTCCCGTTTTTGAAGCACATCGCTGAATCCAAGTTCGCTAACACTGTTGTGTTCGACCAGTGCCAGTTTGGGGCTGACTTCAGGAAGCGGACCGCCATCTTGATGTCCTCAGATCTCGACGACTCTTTCCTGAACCAAAGATGTGTGGGCAAATCAGGTATATGCTCTAGGTCAGGAAAACCCCACGAACATCTTGAAGGAAAAGATATCTCTGGATGGAAGACCGACCGTGCTATACATTACCCTCCTCGTCTCTGCACTGCTATCGCCGGCACCTCCAGATCCCTGTGGGCCCAGAAGCACGTTGCAGGTTCGATGGCACGGACGACCGCCCCTCCAGGAACGGCCTCTCCCTCCCGTGCCCGCCCGAGGCCAACACATCTCTGAGATTCGGGACCTCTTGATGGTGATTGGGGACATAGAGCAGTAGAATTCTATGCTGACTGGTGGCAAGCCTGTGATGTATCGCTTTGGGATATCATTCTGTTGGCCGAGTAAATCGTCATGAGAGTGCGTGCACAGTAATGACGACACGGGGGCCGTACTGTGACACGAGTAGGGGGAAGGTAGCAGGAGCGTCGCGTGCCTCGCCCGTCCCGTGCTCATAGCCTTCTGTTGTTCCCGACCCGACCCGCCCTGGGACATAGAGCAGTAGAATTCTATGCTGACTGGTGGCAAGCCTGTGATGTATCGCTTTGGGATATCATTCTATTGGCCGAGTAAATCGTCATGATGATGATGATGGTGATGCTGTTGCTGCTGCTGATGATGATTCTGATGCTGCTGATGATGATGATGCTGAGGCTATAGATGATGCTGATGAGGATGTTGATGCTGATGCTGCTGATGCTGCTGCTGCTGATGATGTTGATGATGCTGATGATGATGCTGCTGATGATGGTGATGCTGCTCATGATGCTGATGATGGTAAGGGGGATGACGACGACGGTGATGATGATGATGATGCTGATGGTGCCGATGATATCGATGTTGATGCTGCTGATGATGCTGATGGTGTTGATGATGCTGATGATGCTGACGATGCTGATGCTGATGACGATGATGACGATGATGACGGTGACGCTGCGGTTGACGATGCTGATGCTGATACTGATGTTGATGATGCTGCTGATGATGCTGATGAGGATGATGCTGATGCTGATGCTGATGCTGATGATGCTGATGCTGCTGCTGATGCTGCTGATGCTGCTGATTATGCTGATGATGCTGATGATGCTGATTATGATGATGCTGATGATGATGCTGATGATGCTGCTGATGCTGATGCTGCTGATGATGATGATGATGATGCTGCTGCCGCTGATGATGATGGTGGTGATGATGATGCTGATGATGATGATGATGCTGATGATGATGCTGCTGATGATGATGATGAGGATGCTGCTGCTGATGATGCTGATGATGCTAATGCTGTTGCTGTTGCTGATGCTGCTGATGATGCTGATGATGCTGCTGATGATGATGATGATGCTGATGATGATGCTGTTTTTGGTGATGATGCGGCTGCGGATGCTGCTGATGATGTCGATGATTATGAGGACGAGGAAGAGGAGGATGAGGAGGAGGAGGATGAGGAGACGGAGGAGGAGGAGGAGGAGGAGGACGATGAGGAGGAAGAGGAGGAGGGGGGGTGAAGGAGGAGGAGGCGGAGGCGGAGGCGGAGGAGGAGGAGGAGGAGGAGGAGGAGGAGGCGGAGGTGGAGGCGGCGGCCGAGGCGGAGGCAGAGGTGACGGCGGCGGCGGAGACGGAGGCGGAGGGGCGGAGGCGGAGGCGACGGCGGAGGAGACGGCGGAGGAGACGGTGGAGGAGGTGAAGGATGATGATGATGATGCTGATGATGCAGATGATGATGATGATGATGATGATGATGATGATGATGATGATGATGATGATGATGATGATGATGATGATGATGATGATGATGATGATGATGATGATGATGATGATGATGATGATGATGCTGATGCTGATGATGATGATGATGATGATGATGTGATGATGTGATGATGATGCTGATGCTGATGATGCTGATGCTGATGATGATGATGATGTGATGATGATGATGAATGATGATGATGATGATGATGATGATGATGATGATGATGATGATGATGATGATGATGATGATGATGATGATGATGATGATGATGATGATGATGATGATGATGATGATGATGATGATGATGATGATGAGGATGAGGAGGAGGAGGACAATGAGGAGGAGGAGTTGGAGGAGGAGGAGGAGGAGGAGGAGGAGGAGGAACATGAGGAAGAGGAGGAAGAGGACGAGGAAGATGTTGAGGAGGAGGAGGCGGAGGAGGAGGATGAGTAAGAGGAGGAGGATGATCAGTCGGAGGAGGAGGAGGCACATGATGATCAGGAGGATGACATGGAGGTGAGGAGGAGGCGGAGGAGGAGGAGGAGGAGGATGAGGAGGAGGAGAAGGATTAGGAGAAGTAGCATAAGGGTGATGAGGGGGAGGAGGAGGGGGGGGAACTGGAGGGGAGGAGGAGGAGGAGGAGGAGGAGGAGGAGGAGGAGGAGGAGGAGGAATAAGAGGAGGCGAAGGAGCAGGAGGAGGACGAGGACGAGGAGGAGGCGGGAGAAGAGGAGGTGCATGAGGAGGGGAGGAGGAGGGGGAGGACGCAAGTATCAGGACGAGGAGGAGGAGGCGGAGGAGGAGGAGGCGGAGAATGATGAGGAGGATGTGAAGGAGAGAAGAGGAGGATGATGAGGAGGCGGAGTGAAGGATGCTGCTGCCTGCGTGCTGAGATCATGATGCTGATGCTGATTGCTGATGCTGTGCTGATGATGATGATGAGCTGATGATGATGCTGATGATGATGATGATGAGATGATGATGATGATGCTGCATGATGATGATGAGGTAATGATTGTGGATGATGATGGGATGCGATGACAGGATGATGATGCTGCTGATGCTGATGATGGATGATGAGGATGAGGAGGAGGGGAGGAGGAGGAGGAAGGAGGTGGAGGAGGTGGAGAGGAGGAGGCGGAGGAGGTGGAGAGAGGAGGAGGAGTAGCAGTAGGAGGAGGATTACGGGAGGCGGAGGAGGAGGAGGAAGAGGTATGAGGATGATGATGATGATGATGATGATGATGATGTATGATGATGATGATGATGATGATGATGATGATGATGATGATGATGATGATGATGATGATGATGATGATGCTGATGATGATGATGATGATGCTGCTGCTGATGATGATGAAGGTGATGGTGATGATGATGCTGCTGATGATGCTAATGATGACGATGATGAGGAGGAGGAGGAGGAGGAGGCGGAGGCGGAGGAGGAGGAGGAGGCGGAGGAGGTGGAGGAGGTGGAGGAGGAGGAGGAGGAGGACGAGGCGGAGGAGGAGGAGAAGGAGGTGAAGGAGGAGGAGGAGGCGGAGGAGGAGGATGAGGATGATGATGAGGATGAGGATGAGGATAAGGATAATGATGATGATGATGCTGATGATGATGATGATGATGACGATAACGATGACGATGACGATGACGATGATGATGATGCTGATGATGATGCTGATGATGATGTTGACGATGATGACTTCTGAATATGGTGATGATGATGATGATGATGATGATGATGATGATGATGATGATGATGATGATGATGATGATGATGATGATGATGATGATGATGATGATGATGATGATGATGATGGATGATGATGATGATGATGATTACGATGATGATGATGATGATGATGAATGATGAGATGATGATGATGATGATGATGATGATGATGATGATGATGATGATGATGATGATGCTGCTGATGCTGCTGATGCTGATGCTGATGCTGATGCTGATGATGATGATGATGATGAGGAGGAGGAGGAGGAGGAGGAGGAGGAGGAGGAGGAGGCGGAGGGGGAGGAGGACGATGAGGAGGAGGACGAAGAGGAGGATGAGGAGGACCTCGGGAGCATGCGACTAGGCCCGTCAGGGGTCTTGTCAGCACGGGTCCCCGCGTTGGGTTTTGCCAGAGGTGTATGTGGCCCGAGATGACACCAGCCAGGGCCGCCTACGAGCCGCCTCGATGCGATTTTGATTCGCGGGCTGGGTCCGCGGTTCCGATCCGGTTCGATTTGGTTCGATTCACTCGCATCGGCCAGGGCCAGCTGTAGCCGGGCATAGCCATCCGATTCCGTTGCGATTCGGGACGCTCCGCTGGCGTCGGATCCGTTTCCAATCCGATCCGTTCTCGTGGCTCGATCCAGTTCAGGCCTGTTTGCTGGTCCATGGAGGCCCATGTGGCCTCCAGAACACACTTGCGAGGCCGACAGGGCCCCAAAGGGGGCTCCACCATGCCGCGAGAGGCTGGGGGAACCGGGGGCCAGGAACACCCCTTGCGACCTCCGCCCCCGTGGAGGTGGATCTGGCGGGCTCGTGCTGAGGGCCTCCCGCCCATGTACTACGCTGACAACTTCGACGCCTACACCGACTTCCTGAACGTGCTGAATTCGAGCATCCCCGCGTGTTCGCCGGGCTGCGAGGAGCGGAACGTCAGCGTCGCGGCCAAGGTGGACGAGTTCTTCACCACCGTGAAGGAGCTTGCCCAGAGCTACCCGCAGGCGAAATTCATTTTCAACACGCGCAACCAAGGGGTGTGGCTTGCAGGTCGGGTGGGTGGGAGCAGCCCGCACAGCCCCCGGATACGGTCAGGATTTTTGGCTTGGCGTGTCGCGCCGCCGCTTCTGGCACACCACGCTTCGGCGCGACTCGATATCCACGTCCCAGTCCTGGCGTTAACGCCCCGAGCGTTTCTCAGCCTCCCGCCCCGCGGAGCGGAGCGACACGCTATCTGCCTGCAGCGCGTAGTGTGTCGCCAGGGCCGCCGTCGCGTCACGCTAAGCAAACACATATTCAAGTTTCAGGGTTGAATAATGTAAGGACGTCTCCAGGGAAACGGCCGGGCCAGCCTACGGACACGTCCGCTGTTGTGACATCAGGGAGTTCAGCAAGGGAAAGGGGAGGATGATGAAAAGAGGGGGAGGAGGAACGAATCTGAAATCTGGAGCTGTGGTCAGAGAGGTGAAGGGATGTCTACACGAGCCGTTGATGCTAGAGTTCGTGGGGTGCGGGCGCACAGTCCCCTCCAGGCCTGGTCAACAACTGCTGGGGCAACGTCAACCCGAAGCGCGAGTGGGTCCAGTACCGCCTGGGGCTCCCCAGATCTTTTTGGAACCCTGCAGAGCCCCTTGCACTTCTTCATGATTCCCTGAAACTTCCAAGACCCCGCATAGATTGTGAAGCCCGTAAGACTAGAGCCCTCCCTCTTTCTTGCCCCATCATCCTCCTTGTCGCTTCTCTTCCCCCGCCTCCTCTTCCCTGCTTCTCCTCCTTCTCGTCCTTTCCCCTCCTTCTCGTCCCTTCTCCTCCTCCTCCTCCTCCTCCTTCAATTCGTGCCTCCTTTTTTTTCTTCTCTTTTTTAGGTTCCCCACCCCCCCCTCCTTCCTTTTCCTTCATCCTCCTCCCTCCTTCTCCTCTCCTCTTCCTCCTCCTCTCCTCCTCCTTCCTCCTCCTCCTCCTCCTCCTCCTCCTCCTCCCTTGTCCGACCTTATCCTCCTTGCCGCTCCTCTTCACGCTTCCACTCCTCCTCCTCCTCCTCCTCCTCCTCCTCTTCCTCATCCTCATCCTCATCCTCATCCTCATCCTCATCATCATCATCATCATCATCATCATCATCATCATCATCATCATCATCATCATCATCATCAGTCAGCGTCATCCTCGCCCCTCCCTCCTCCTCGTCCCTAGTCCTCGTCCATCCCTCTTCGATGCCTCCCTCTCTGTCGACGCCGACAGCCGCCGCCGACGCCGCCGACGACGACGATGACCAGGTACCTGCAGCGCTGGGAGGAGTGCTGCGGCTCCGAGCACGGCAGGTGGGGCAACCTCTCCTGCTGGAGGCCCCCCGGGGCGGGCCAAAGCCACGGGGGTCGGCACAGGACGGCCCGCTCCCCTTTCTCCTCATCCCTCTCCTCCTCCCCTCTCCTCTTCTCCTCCCTCCTCTTTCCTCCATCCTCCTTCGCCGATGTGCTCCAGCCTGCTGGTTCTCATTCTATTTTCCCCTCGGCCTCCTGGGGGTTGGGAGGCTGCAGCTGCGCGAACGCGGCACTGTTCGCCCGTGTCTGCGATCTGCCATCCGGGGCCCCGTTCGCGCAGGGTCATGGCAGGAGTGCCTCTGCGGCGCACGGGGCAGCGGCTGGCGCCTGTCGGTGCTGCCATGCGGGACGTCGCGGTCTCTTGTTCAGAGGCCCTCGGTAGTTTCTGTTTTGGGGTGGGGTCCGCTGCCAAACAATGCAAACAGTCGTCCTTTCTTCTCATCCCTCTCCTTCTCGCCCTTCTCTTCGCCGTCCGTCCTCCTCTCTCCTCCATCCGCGCAAGGGTTTCCCTCTTCACGGCCAGGCCCGTGGTCCACACTGAGCGGGTGGCCTTCAATTGCCTCCACTCATGGAGCATCGCCCTTCTTGCGCACTAGCTGGTCCCAGTCAGTCGTCCTCTGTCCTCCTCGCCCCTTCCCTCCTTTTTGCAACCACCTCTTCTGAGCACAGCTCTCTCCCCTCTCCCGCGACTGCGCCCTGGCTGCAGCTCGCTCCTCCCGCCTATGGTTTCCGTTCAAGCAGGATTTCAAACATTGTCGTTCCTTTTGTGTTTGTTTGTGTGTGTGTGTGTGTGTGTGTGTTCATTCCCACTCGGAGCGCCATTGGCCGTTCCTGCAGTCCTCCTCATTGTATTGTTACTATTTTCCAGTCTTGGCCCTCCTCTCTTACCGTCACTGCGTTTCAGTGGCTCCCTCGTCATCCTGGGTATCGCGTGGGCCAGGTATCACATCGTCCACCTGGGGCTCCCGCGTGTCACGTTGGTCGAGGGGTACGGGCTGCCCACCACGATCAGAAGCTGCTCTCTCCACACGTTCTGCGTGGCGGGGTGGCGTAGCCACTGTGCGCCGCGGATGGCCGACGAGCGCTCGGGCGTCGACCGTGCTGTGGGCTCACTTTTTTTGGTCGGCGGCCGCGCGACAATGGTCTGGCGGCAACAGGCGTGTCTGGGACGGAGGAACAGGCAAATTCCACGCGAGGCGTGCAATGCACGTGCACTGAGCAAAATGTTCAGCATTCACTGGGACGCACCTAGCGCACAGAGGTGCAAGCTGCGGAGTAAGTCGCCCTTGCGGCGTTAAGCTCCGAGCAACTGCCCAGATATGTACCAGCCTGGCTGTGGGCTCACGCGCGCAGCTGGTGGACATGCGAAGCTTCCGCGCCGCACCCCGCACGCGCGGCGGCCTCAGTCCGTCGTGGAGCCGCGAGGCTGCCCGCTGTGGCCTCGGCTCGGCGGGCGCCCGCCGCGACCTGGCAGGCAGGACTCCTGCGGCCGCCCGCCGCGACTGGCCTTTTCGGCGGCCGACGCACGGGCGGCGCACGGGCGACGCATGCGCGACGCACCTTTTGTCGCGAAGGGGGGGGGGTCAGCACGCCGGTCGCTTTACTGGGCCTTAACAAGCAGGAGCGTGCCGTGCCAACGCTGCGGTTCTGCAGGGCCGGCGGGCCCGTGGCCCTCAGACCCAGGCGCTGCGGCAAACATCTCGTCGGCTGGTGTGGCCGCCAGAGGCCGTTTTTCCCGGCCCCCGGGGCTGTCAAGCGATGGCTCGCGATGAGAATTGGCCCGGGGGAAATGATCGGGAGCACTTCCCCAGATTCCCGGGGGAGTGGTCGAGAACTGGCCACCGCATCGCGACCGCTCCACCTTTCTCTGCCGAAGCGTTCCGCCGAGCAAGCCATGTGCAGAGCACGGACGTGCGTGCGCGCATGGCGCCGCATCCGTCGCGTTCTACATGTGCGCGCCCAGCGCCGCACACCCGCGCAGGCCCTTTCTGTCTGGAGGCTTGCGCCCTTCCGCCCCCCCTTGCCGGGGGCAGCTTGCGGCTCGCAGTCTGGGCGCCACCCCGTCCATGTCGGCGGCGCGCCCAGGGGGGGAAGCAGAGGGGGCGGGCTTTCTCGGAAGGCTCAGAAGGCCTCACGCCTTCTGCGAAGCTCTCTGAGCCCGAGCTCCGAGGCTGCAGAGGGGCAGATCACAGGGCCGGCCCCCTCTCAATTCCCCCCTGGGCGCGCCGCCAACCGTTGTCCAGGGGGCGTTGGAGCGAGAGCACTTTTTGCCGCTGGCGGCGGGGGCTGATCGCAATCTGGCCGCCCGCTTCCGACGACTGTGGCCCATGGGCTGCGGGGGCCCATGTGGGCGGCGCCTTCGAGGCGCCCCGCCACCCCCCGGGCGCGCGCCGTGGGAGGTTGGAGGCGGAGGCGGAGGAGGCGGAGGCGGAGGCGGAGGCGGAGGCGGAGGCGGAGGCGGAGGAGGCGGAGGTGGAGGAGGAGGCGGAGGCGGAGGCGGAGGCGGAGGAGGAGGAGGAGGTAGGAACATGAGGAGGAGGAGGAAGAGGAGGAGGATGAGGAGGAAAAGCAGGATGAGGAGGACGAGGACCAGTGTAAATCCAAGACTCATCAACGATCTTGTAATACACCGTATTTTCAAGTTCCCTCTCCATGGGTCTGATAGGTCTCTACAGCGCTTTTTCCCAAACATCCTGTGGTGTTGGGTCCTCCTCCTCCTCCTCTCCTCTCCCCTCCTCCTCTCCTCTCCTCTCCTCTCCTCTCCTCTCTCTCCTCTCCTCTCCTCTCCTCTCCTCTCTCTCCTCTCCTCTCCTCTTCTCTCATCTCTCTCCTCCCTCTCCTCTCTCTCCTCTCCTCTCCTTTCTCTCCTCTCCTACTCTCCCCCTACTACTCACTCCTCCCCTCTTCCTTGCGTTTCACACACAGTACAGCAGTTCGAGCACATAGAGCTCCGCCGAAGCCCCAGCGCTGCGCCCGCATGCGTCACCCACACCAATTCGCACACCCTCACACCGTTTCGTGGCTCCATAGGGAGCTCCACCGAAGGCCCCAGTGCCCGCGCCCGCATGCGTCACCCACACCCATTTCGGCACACCCCTCACACGTTTCGTGGCTCCATAGGGAGCTCCACCGAAGGCCCCCGTGCCCGCGCCCGCATGCGTCACCCACACCAATTTCGGCACACCCCTCACACGTTTCGTGGCTCCATAGGGAGCTCCACCGAAGGCCCCAGTGCCCGCGGCCGCATGCGTCACTCACACCCATTTCGGTGCACCCCTCACACGTTTCGTGACTCCATAGGGAGCTCCACCGAAGGCCCCAGTGGCCGCGGCCGCATGCGTCACCCACACCCATTTCGGCAAACCCCTCACACGCTTCGTGGCTCCATAGGAGCTCCGCGAAGGCCCCAGGCTTGCCGCCCGCATGCCCAGCCACCCCACCAATTCGGCAGCACCCTGCAGCGTTTCCCGTGGCCCCATAGGAGCTCCGCCGAAGGCCCCAGTGCTGCCGCCCGCATGCGGTCACCCACACACCATTCTGCACACACCTTTCACGCTTTCGACGATGGATAGGAGCTCCGCCGAGGCCCCAGTTGCTGCGCCCGCATGCGTCACGCACACCCAATTCGGCACACCCCTCACGCGTTTCGTGGCCCCATAGGGAGCTCCGCCGAAAGCCCCAGTGCTGCCGCCCGCATGCGTCACGCACGCCCAATTCGGCACACCCCTCACACGTTTCGTGGTCCCATAAGGAGCTCCGCCGAAGGCCCCAGTGCTGCCGCCCGCATGCGTCACGCACACCCAATTCGGCACACCCTCACACGTTTCGTGGCCCCATAGGGAGCCCCGCCGAAGGCCCCAGTGCTGCCGCCCGCATGCGTCACGCACACCCAATTCGGCACACCCCTCACACGTTTCGTGGCCCCATAGGGAGCTCCGCCGAAGGCCCCAGTGCTGACGCCCGCATGCGTCACGCACACCCAATTCGGCACACCCCTCACACGTTTCGTGGCCCCATAGGGAGCTCCGCCGAAGGCCCCAGTGCTGCCGCCCGCATGCATCACGCACACCCAATTCGGCACACCCCTCACACGTTTCGTGGCCCCATAGGGAGCTCCGTCGAAGGCCCCAGTGCTGCCGCCCGCGTGCGTCACGCGCACCCAATTCGGCACACCCCTCACACGTTTCGTGGCCCCATAGGGGGCTCCATCGAAGGCCCCAGTGCTGCCGCCCGCATGCGTCACGCACACCCAATTCTGCACACCCCTCACACGTTTCGTGGCCCCATAAGGAGCTCCGCCGAAGGCCCCAGTGCTGCCGCCCGCAACGCGTCACGCCCACCCAATCGGCACACCTCGCACGTTTCGTGGCCACATAGGAGCTCCACCGAAGGGCCCCAGGCTGCCGCCCGACATGCGCCACGCACGCCAATTCGGCACAACCCTCACTACGTTTCGTGGCCCCATAGGAGCTCGCCGAAGGCCCCAGTGCTGCCGCCCGCGTGCGTCCCGCACACCCAATTCGGCACACCCCTCACACGTTTCGTGGCCCCATAGGGAGCTCCGCCGAAGGCGCCAGTGCTGCCGCCCGCATGCGTCACGCACACCCAATTCGGCACACCCCTCACACGTTTCGTGGCCCAAAGGGAGCTCCACCGAAGGTCCCGTTGGGTGTGCCCGCATGCGTCCCGCACACCCAATTCGGCACACCCCTTACACGCTTCGTGGCCCCATATGTAGCTCCATCGAAGGCCCCAGTGCTGCCGCCCGCATGCGTCCCGCACACCCATTTCGGCACACCCCTCACACGTTTCGTGGCCCCATAGGGAGCTCCGCCGAAGGTCCCAGCGGGTATGCCCGCATGCGTCCCGTACACCCATTTCGGCATGCTCTTCACACGTTTCGTGGCCACATAGGGAGCTCCACCGAAGGCCCCAGTGGGTGTGCCCGCATGGCGTCCCGCACACCCATCTCGGCACACACCTTCACGCGTTTCGTGACCCCTCACAACGTCTCGGGCCCCACAGGGAGCTCCACCGAAGGCCCAGTGGTGTGCCCGCATGCGTTCCCGCACACCCATTCGGCCCACCCCTCACACGTTTCGTGGCCCCATGGGGAGCTCCACCGAGGGTCCCAGGGTGTGTGCCCGCATGCGTCCCGCACACCCATTTCGGCCCACCCCTCACACGCTTCGTGGCCCCATAGGGAGCTCCACCGAAGGTCCCAGTGGGTGTGCCCGCACGCGTCCCGCGCACCCATTTCGGCACACCCCTCACACGTTTCGTGGCCCTATAGGGAGCGCCACCGAAGAAGATATTCACAATTGCGGTATTCACAATTGCATATGGTTGGGTCCTTCGCCAGGATAATTTTATTGCGGGAAGTGCCCCATTGGAAAACAACCTCCTGATAATCTCCTATCTTCCCAAAACGTAATTCCTGGGACTCCAGAGCCGCGAACCAACGTGACTGTTTCGTCTTGACAATTCTCAATCGTGCCAGAACATGATGCGTTGGGCTTCACACCTCGAATCAACGTGACTCTGGCGCCCTGACGGTTTGGAATCGTGCCAGAACGCCGTTCCCGGGACTTCAAGTGTACGAGTCTATGAGACTGCTGCAAACTTTCAAGACGAATGTGTGCGGCGTTAAGTCGAGAGCCATGCTTTGAAAAGGGCACGCCCTCCATCCTTGAGACGGCTGCGAACTTTTAAGACGAATGCGCGGTGCGCTAAGTCCAGAGCCACCTTTTGAATACCACCCGCCCTCCATCCTTGAAGCTGTTAGCTGTTGCAAACTTTTGAGACGAATATGCGCGGTGTTGAGGCGAGAGTCATATTTTGAAATGGTTCCGGTTTCCATCCTTGAAGCGGTTGCGGACTTTCAAGACACATGTGCGCGGCACTTAGGCGAGAGCCACCGTTTGAAAACGACCCGCCCTCCATCAGTGAAGCTGTTGCGATTTTTAAATAAGACGAAGGCGTTCGGCGCTAATGCGAGAGTCACAGTTTGAAAACCACCCGCCCTCCCCCAGTGAGGCCGTGGCAAACTTTCCACACGAATTGGCGCGGCGCCAAGGCGTGATTACATTTCGACAATCATCCGCTCTCCGTCCGTGACGCTGTTTCAAATGTCAAGCTTCAGTATCTTAAGTTGTGAGGAAGTCTCAGGTGAAATGACCGGCCCGTCCTACCGACATGTCTGGGGCTGCGACAGGGAGGAGTTATGTATGAGGAACAGGATGATGATGATGATGATGATGATGATGATGATGATGATGATGATGATGATGATGATGATGATGATGATGATGAGGATGAGGATGAGGATGAGGATGAGGATGATGATGATGATGATGATGAATTGATGATGTGATGATGATGATGATGATGATGATGATGCTGATGCTGATGCTGATGCTGATGCTGATGCTGATGCTGATGCTGATGCTGATGCTGATGATGATGAGGAGGAGGAGGAGGAGGAAGAGGAGGAGGAGGAGGAGGAGGAGGTCGGGCTGCCATTCTCTTCCCTGCTCCCCTCCCCCCCCCCTGTCCCCCCCCCCCTGGCAGGCACCGCCGCCGCGACGCCGCAGAGGGAGGCGGGCAGCCCGGAGGCCGACCCCCCCACGCCCTGCAAGCCGACCGCCGAGCGGCACAACTCCAATTCAGCCTCGGCGGGTTTCGGCGACGAGCGAGGTGGGGAAGTGAGAAGGAGACGGCCTTCTCAGAAGGAGGCAGGTAGACGACCTTCTCAGAAGGAGGCAGGGCTTCTCAGAAGCCATCCGGCCTTCTGAGAAGTTTTCTGTGTCTTCGGGGAAGGCTTAGAAAACTTCTCGGACGGCTGGGGGACTTCCGAGCCTTCTGAGAAGGCCAACCCCTTCTCACTTCCTCCCCGGTCTCGCCGTCGAGGATTGGTTGGGATTCAGCTCCGCGCGGATTTCTTTCGCGGGTGTTTTTTCCTCCCCATTCCCCGAGTTCCGCCCGAAAAGGTTGGCCGCTCAGAAAAGCGGGGGAACTCTGGGATACACCCCAAGGGGGCTATTCGGCCGCACCCATATCGAGGATGGGCGTCCTCCCATCGTATATCCCAGGGTTGGGCCCCAAGTTTCTGGTTCATTCGAAAACCCCACGAAACCTGGGTTCGGAGTCGACGTATCCCCTGTTATTCTTGGGTCGGCGCTGGTTCCCCCCCTTCTCCTGTCGTCTCCTCCGGCGCCACCCCCCCCGCGCGCCAGGGGAGGAATGTCCAGCGCCGACTCGAGAAACCTTCTCTTAAGTCCGAGAGTTTATGTCTGTGTTGTTTTTGGCGTTGTTCCTCTGGCAAGACCAAGTTGGCCATGAGGGCAATATCCCAGATGTCCAACCCCGTGAGCAAAAATCATGATGTCTTTTTTTTTGTTGTGTGTGGTCGGGGGGAAAGAATCTGGACGCCGTTCACAGGCCCCAGGACCGTCCGAAACGACTGAGGATGAAAAGCTGGCCCCCTGGAAGGAGTCGAGAGGTCCAGGGGACAAATTGAATAAACCGCGACGTCGGATGCCTGTGTACAGCGTTTTTTTTGTTCTCTCGAATCCTTGCGTGTCTATTAAGTTTGGGCCTCTGGGAAGTCTTTTTGGAGCCCTGGGGCTCTCAGAGATGACTCCAGGATGAAAAGCTGCCCACTTGAGGATGGGGCCCAGGCCTCTGCAAGAACAGGAAACATGACCACGAGCTTGCGGAGGTCCACGCGGGTTTCTTGGCTCGGCGCTGGACCCCGCTCCCCAGGAGGTACGGGGAAAAGGGGTTCTCGCTCCAAGCCTAGAAACGTTCGCGGACTTCCGAAATCCATCATTTTTTAATGCACCTTTTGTTTATCCCAACCATCCTGTGGTTTTGGGCCCTCGTTTTGAAGAGACAGCGCCCCGCGTTCTTCTCCTCCTCCTCCTCCTCCTCCTCCTCCTCCTCCTCCTCCTCCTCCCTCCTCCCATCCCTGCCTCTGCCCTCTGTGCTCCGGATGCCCTTATCTTCATCATCGTCACCAACAGCATCGCCGTCATCATCACCATCGTCGTCATCATCGTCGCCGCCATTGCCGCACCAACTTCGGCATACCCTTCATGCGGTTCGTGGCCTCATGGGGAGCTCCACCGAAGGCCCCAGTGGTACAGTTTACATGACTCCCCGCCGCCCATTTTGGCACACCGCTCACACGTTTCGTGGCCCCATAGGAAGCTCCACCGAAGGTCACAGTGGCACAGTTTACACGCGCCCTCGCCACCCATTTCGGCACACCCCTCACACGGTTCGTGGCCCCAAGGGTAGTTCCAGTGGCACAGTTTACATGCGTCCCCGCCACCGCACACCCTCACACGTTTCGTGGCCCCATACGTAGGGAGCTCCACCGAAGGCCCCAGTGGTAAAGTTTACATGCGTCCCCGCCACCCATTTCGGCATACCCCTCACGCGGTTCGTGGCCACATAGAGAGCCCACCCATTTCGGCACACCCCTCGCACGTTTCGTGGCCCCATGGGGAGCTCCATCGAAGGCTACAGTGACACAGGTTAAATGCGTCCCCGCCACTTATTTCGGCACGCCCCTCACGCGGTTCGTGGCCACATAGGGAGCTCCACCGAAGGCCCCAATGGCACAGTTTGCATGCGTCCCCGCCACCCATTTCGGCACACCCCTCACACGGCTCGTGGCCCCAACGGTAGCTCCATCGAAGGCCCCAGTGGCACAGGTTAAATACGTCCCCGCCACTTATTTCGGCACACCCTCACACGGTTTGTGGCCCCAGAGGGAGATTCACCGAAGGTCCCAGTGGTACAGTTTATCCGCGTCCCCGCCACCCATTTTGCACACCCCTCGCACGTTTTCGTTGCCCCATAGGGAGCTCCACCGAAGGCCGCAATGGTACAGTTTACATGCGTCTCCGCCACCCACATTTCGGCACACCCCATCACGCGGTTCGTGGCCCCATGGGGAGCTCCACCGAAGGCCTCAGTGGTATAGTTTACATGCGTCTCCGCCACCCATTACGGCGCACCCCCCACATGTTTCGTGCCCCCATAGGGAGCTCCACCGAAGGCCCTGCGGGACGTGTTCCGCACGCGCCCGCCGGGACACATTCGCAAATTCTACACGTGCACCCTCGAGGACGTGCTTTCGGCACGCACCCTTTAGGACACGTGTGCACGTACGCGCACCCGCTGGGACGCGCCTCGCGCGCACCCACTGCGACACGTACGTAATTTTACACGCGCACCCGCTGGGACGTGCCTTCGGCACGCACCCACTGGGACACGTGCGCACGTGCGCGCACCCTCTGAGACGTGCCTCGCACGCACCCACGGGGACACGTACGTAATTCTACACGCGCACCTTCCGGGATGTGCCTTCGGCACGCACCCGTTGTTTTTTCCCAACCGTCTTGTGGTGTTGGGTCCTCGTTTTGAAGACACAGCGCCCCGCGTTCCTTCCTTCCTCCTCCTCCCCTCCTTCTCCTCTCCTCCTCCTCCTCCTCCTCCTCCTCCTCCTCCTCCTCCCATCCCTTGCGTCTGCTCTCCGCATGTCCACAAGTTCGGCACACCCCTCACACGGTTCGTGGCCACATAGGGAGCTCCACCGAAGGCCCCCGTGGCACAAGCCGCATGCGCCCGACGCCCACATTTCGGCACACCCCTCACACGGTTCGTGGCCACATAGGGAGCTCCACCGAAGGCCCCAGTGGCACAAGCCGCATGCGCCCGACGCTCATTCTGGCACGCCCCTCACGCGGTTCCTGCTCCTATAAGGAGCTCCACCGAAGGCCTTGCCACAGGTCGCATGCGCCCGACGCTCCCATTTGGCATACCCCTCACACGGTTCGTGGCACCACAGGCAGCTCCACCGAATGCCCCAGTGGCACAGGCCGCATGCGCCCGTCAACCCCACACCCCTCACACGGTTCGTGGCCGTATAAGAAGCTCCACCGATGGCCCCAGTGGCACAGGCCGCATGCGCCCGACGCTCCCATTCTGACACGTCCCTCACGCGGTTCGTGGCCCATGGGGTGCTCCACTGAAGGCCCCAGTGGCACAGTTTACATGCGCCTGACGCCTACTTTAGCACACCCTTCACACGGTTTATTAGCCCCATAGGGAGCTCCACCGAAGGCCCCAGAGGCACAAGCCGCATGCGCCCGACGCTCCCATTTTGGCACGCCCCTCTCACGGTTCGTAGCCCCACAGGGGGCTCCACCGAAGGTCTCACTGGAACAGGCCACATACGCCCGATGCCCATTTCGGCACACCCCTCACGCGGTTCGTGGCCATATATAGGGAGCTCCATGGAAGGCCCCATTGGCACAGTTTACATGCGTCCCCGCCACCCATTACGGCACACCCCTCACACGGCTCGTGGCCCCAAAGATAGCTCCCACGAATGCCCCAGTGGCACAGGCCGCATGCGCCCGACCACCATTTTCGCACACCTCTCACGCGGTTTGTTGCCCCTTAGGGAGCTTCACCGAAGGCCCCAGTGGCACGGCCGGCACGCGAACTTTGCCATTGGACCTTCGGTGGAATTTTTGTATGGGGCCACGAAACGTGTGAGGGGTGTGCCGAAATGGGGGCGGGGCCGCCATGCGAATTTCGCCACTGGGGCCTTCGGTGGAGCTCCCTCATGGGGCCACGAAACGTATGAGGGGTGTGCCGAAATGTGGGCGGGGCCGCCATGCGAACTTTGCCATTGGGGCCTTCGGTGGAGATCCCTATGGGGCCACGAACCGCGTGAGGGGCTTGCTAGAATGGGATGAGCGGGAGGAGGGAGGAGGAAAAGAGAGGAGGAGAGGAGGAGACGCGGGGCGCTGTCTCCTCAAAATGACGATCCAACACCACAGGATGGTTTGGAAGAGTGCAACAGTTTCGCGGATTGGGGGCGGGTGGTTTTCAAACTGTGGCTCTCGCCTTAGCGCCGCGCGCATTCGTCATCAAAAAGTGCAAGCGTTTCATGGATGGATGGCGGTTCCTTTTTTTCAATTTGTGGCTCTCGTCTTAGCGCTGTGCCCATCCGTCCTAAGAAATGTGAATGGTTTTCGTGGTTCACGTCCCAGAAACTTTGGCGCGGTGTCAGATTTCCAGGCCGCAGCAGTTACGCTGACTCGTGGAGCTCAAGTCCCAGGAACGGTGTTCTGGCACGTTTCAGGATCGCCAAGTCGCAACAGTAACAATGATTCGTGGCGTTGAAATCCCAGGAACGGTGTTCTGTCAGGGTTCAGGATTTTCAAGCGGTTGTTTTCTAACGGGGCGCTTCCCTCAGTGAAGATGAATCTTTACAGGGGCCTGTGAAGAGGGAGCTTGGAATGAGGGTTTATTGCAATGTCATTGATGAGTCTTGGGTTTGCAGTGGTCCTTCTCCTCCTCCTCCTCCCCCCCTCCTCCTCCTCTTCCTCTCTTCCTCCTCCTCCTCTCCCCCTCCTCCTTCTCCTCCTCCCCCGCCTTCTGCTCCTCCGCCTCCTGCTCCCCCTCTTCCTTCCCGCGACCAGGGGCGGCGACGGCGACGGCGGACGACGACGCTCCGGCGGCGCGCCCCGAAGGGCAGAGCGCGGGCAGCTACCAGTGGATGGTGCGGTCGTGCTGCGAGCCGCTGCGGGTGTTCCGCTGGGCCTGGCACGCCATGCACGCAGGCCTCCACGGGAGAGAGCTTCCTCCTCCTCCTCCTCCTCCTCCTCCTCCTCCTCCTCCTCCTCCTCCCTCCTCCTCCTCCTCCTCCTCCTCCTCCTCCTCCTCTCCTCCTCCTCCTCCTCAGAGGAGGGCGAGCTGATGCAGCGTCCGTTGGCCTTCGGGGGGGGGGGCCTCGTCGCAACGGCTGGGCGCCGCTCGGAAGCCTGGCGCGTCTGGACTTCGGGAGGGATCCGGGGCCCCGGAGAGGTCTGAGCTGCCGCTGTCTCAACTCGCCCTCCTCCGAACTTCGATGATGTACTCCAGCTTTCGTAATAAAGGGGCGGGGGGTTTCATTTCGGGGGGGGGTCTCTTCCAGGCTATCTTGGAGGGCCTGGGGGGGTCTGGGGACGATGTTTTGGAGGGTTCTCCCAGGGGGGGGGGGTCTGAAATGGCTTGTCTTGGGGGGTCCAGACCCCCTCCCTTGTATTACGAAATCTGGAGTATGTTTTTCGCTGCTTCTGGCGTCTGGAGGCCGCTCTCGGGCCCCAGGGCCGCCAGAAGCCGGACAGGGAGGGAATCTGTGCTGGGATAGAGGGCGTGGGCCATGGACTGATTGCGAGCGGAATGTGGTCCAGAGGTTCAGGAGATACCAACACGTTCTGGCTCTCTAATGAATCGTCCCCCCTTGAAGTGCGGGGGAGGGGTGGCCGTGGCGTGTCCCTGGGGGCGGCGGCGGGGGGGGAGGGGTGGAGTTGTTCGCTGCGTGCCGGGGGGGGGGGGGTGGCCGCGCCGCGTTTTCACGTTTGTCACCCCCCCTTGATTAATAAGAAGTTTAGAGTCATGCTTCTGGTGCTCTTCCTCCGTTTTCTCCTTCAGACCTCCGCAGAGACCTCCATGGGCCTCAGGAAACCTCCAGAGCCCCCATGGAGACCCCGTCCTCCGCTTTTCGGAGGAGGAGGGAGAGCGGGAAGGGAAGGTTCGGCACGTCCTTTGCCCCATCCCTTGTGCCCGCAGCCAGAAAATCCGCAATGGGGGCGTGGGCTCGTTTGTGGGCCCACTTACCGCCAGAACCTACAACCTCGAGCGTTGGAGCAGAGGGGGTGAGGAAGGTACGAGGCAACTCCATGTTGTGGCAACAGTTTTGCCGCCGCGGAAGCAGCATCTAGCTGACTGCAGGACTTCCCGTCGCGAACCTAATCCGGCATACTCTTGATTATTTCCGCTTAGATCCTGTTTAGGTCCGTTTTGTCTGGCTGATTCCCAGGCGATGCCAGCTTACTTGCCCTTTCCACGGGGTTAGTACCCCGTAACTCGTTCTTGAGAAGACCTCCCAGAGGTTGCCTCCTCGTATCTTTCATCGTCAGAGAGTCGGGCGGGGCTCTGACAGGGATAAGCCGTTGCAGAGCGTTCTGGAGCGTTGTCAGGGCGTTCTGGAACGCTCTGGGAAGGCCGTGGCGCCCGGCACACCCTCCAGAACCGCCGGATCTCAGAGATCCCCGATCTGTCCCGATCCGATTCTGCCCCGGCCCTGCTTCTCGTCATAGAGCGAGGCGCGGCGTCTCTCTTCGCGGGCGACCCGGGGCGCCTGCTGCAGTTGCAGCCTCCACTGGCCCCCTCGCCGGGCTCGGTGGCCCGCAGCCGTTCTCTGACGAAGACCTCCCAGAGGCTGCTCCCTGACATCGGCCCCCTGCACAGATCCGCGGCAAGCGAGGGGGGAAGTGAGAAGGAGAAGGTCTGCTCAGAAGGTTCGGAAGTCCCCCGGCCTCCTGAGAAGTGTTCTGAGCCTTTTCCGAAGACCAAACAACTTCTCATGAGGCGCGATGGCTTCTGAGAAGTCCCGCCGCCTGCTGAGAAGTCCCTGCTCGTTTCCCCCCCGCGCTCGCCGCCGAAGCGAGGCGTGGCTTCCCTCTTCGCGGACGACCCGGCGCGCCTGCTGCATTTCGACATCGACACCGCCGGCGAGGGCGAGGCGCTGGGCGCCTTCCTGGGCGTGCCGCACATCCCGGGCGCCTGGCGGCGCATACGCCGCGGTCGGCCGGCCAGCGGCGGCCCCGGGGGGTGGGGCCTCCCCAGATCTCGGGCGGTCGGCAGGATGAGCAGAAGCTGATCGTGGTTGTGGTTGTGGTCGGTTTCTTGTTGTTTTTTTGCCGACCGGCGCGGGCCCTCGTGCCCCCTGCCCTTCCCCTCCCCCCCCCCCTGGAGTAGATCTTGGCTGTTTTTGGCGCCTGCTCCGAGCAAGCGGAGTCTCCCCCATAGGACGCACGGTTGCAAATAGTCGCGCCAAGCCGGGGTCCGGAGCCAGACCCCCCCCCTTCCCCCGACTTTCCACGGAATGTCGAAACGCCGAATCAGAAAACGTTCGCATTGTCATCGGCGTCACCCCAGCATAATACCAATACTATGTGTGCCTGGCCCCCAAGGGGGCGACGCGCGCGCCGAGGAATCTTGCAAGATAAGCTCCGTGGCGGGTACCTTCTGGCAGAATCTGATTATTGTGGTCACTATCTGATGGCCTTCGGCCCATCCCGCCGCCGCGCTTGGGTTGTGGGTCAGATTCGTTTGTTGGTGAATTGGGATGAAGTCTTGAGCGGGCGCCCTCCCCCTATGGGGCCCGCACCCCATGTTTGAATCCGAGGCGGGCCACCGGAAACCTTGACCTGACATAGCACTCGAGCACCTCAAGGAGGCACGTTGTGTTTGAATAGCGAGGAAGTCCCGAGCGGGATCTCCCTCCCTGTGGGGCCCACACTTTATGTTCGAATCCGAGGCGGGTCATCGGAAAATTCCACCAGGCATAGCATGTATCTCAAGGTGGGGCAAATTGTGAGTGAATTGCGGGGACGTCTCTATCTCCAGCGGGAGGCCCCTTCCTTTTAGGGCCTGCACTTCATGTTCGAATCCGAGGCGGGTCATCGGAAACCATTACCAGGCATAGCACTTGAGCGCCCTAAGGAGGCACATTGTGTGTGAGTCGCGAGGAAGTCCTGAGCGAGATCCCCCTCCCTATGGGGCCTAGACTTCATGTTCAAATCCGAGGCGGGTCATTGGAACATACTAGCAGGCATAGGACTCGAGCGCTTTAACGGGGAGAGTCGTTAGTGCATGGCGAGGAAGTCTTGAGCGGGAGCCTCCTCTCTATGGGGCCTCACTTCATATAGGTAATTTGAGCGGTTCATGAGAATTCTGGAACTGTCGTCTTTTTTGGGCTCCTCAGGCCTGGCTGTGGAGGCAGTCCCAGGCGGGAGCCTCATCTGTGAGTTGTGTGGGGGTGACGAATGGAGGAGGAGGAGGAGGAGGAGGAGGAGGAGGAGGAGGAGAGGAGGAGGGAGGAGGAGGAGGAGGAGGAGGAGGAGGAGGAGGAGGAGGAGGAGGAGGAGGAGGAGGGGGAGGAGGAGGAGGAGGAGGAGGTGGAGGTGGAGGATGAGCAGAAGGTGGATGGGGGGGGGGGGCAGGCGGACGAAGAGGATGCAGAGCAGGGAGCGGGAGGATGGTCTCCGCTAAGGCGAAGAAGAGGGCGGCGACAACACAGGAAGAGCGTCTCTGCATTCGGAGGGATGGCAATGAGGAGTATTTTCATACAGTGCCGTTTTTAATACATGCTCCGCGTGCGGATCATGAATTCAGAATGCAGGGATTTAGTATTAAAATCAACGACGGGTTCATGCATACATTCATTCACACATTAACCATGTATTACAATTCTTATATTGTTTCAAATCCGATGTCTTAAAACAAACTGCCCTGTATTCGTTCGGGAGATTATCATGTGGGGTCCTTCCGTCGGAGTAGTTCTTTTGTGTGTCTTTGATATTATCCTCGAGCGCGTAGCGGTCGTTACCCATGCTACCCTCCCTCCTCTCCCCCCCTCGGGGAAAAAGGTAACGATCGTGCGGGTTTGGGGGTGCCGGGACCCTCCTCCCACATGCTGGTGCCCTGAGGCATGTGGTGCTGCTCACACGTATGCTGCGGCTCTCCGATGCTCACCCCGCCCAAGCGTTACCCCTACCTGGCCCTCCCCTCCCCGCGTACCGATTGTTACCCGAAGGAACCATAACCATTTCTAAGTCGGGCGTTGCCGCTGGCCAGAATTTCATTGATTTGTAGTCGCGTAGGGAATGCCGTGGTCGGCGATGCCAGCGCAAGAACTCATGCTCGCACACAGGAGCCGCAGTTTATATTGTTGTTATTCGTCTGACCACTGTTCGTGCATATTACGCATTACCTTGAGTATCTGGAGGCCAGATTTTGGCCTAATGGGCGGTCAGGAGACAGCTCGGGGCGAAGAGCCAGTCCCCCGTAATTGGTCGATACCTCCGAGGGCCCACGGTGTGAAGCAGTCGCGACGTCGGGGGCTTGGGTTCGAGGCATCGAGGAGTTGGCATCTTCTTCCTCTGCGGAAGGCGGCGGAAGGGCGGTGAAATCGGGCCGAAGTACGAAGACGCCGGCTCCTGCGGCAGAAACCAGCGGAAGCAAAAGATGCGCCCCCAGGATAGGGTCAACATTTTTGGATTCAGTCTTTCGAGCGGGCCCCATGGCCGATCTCCTCTCCAGACTCAGCGGCGCACCCGGGGGGAAGTGAGAGGGGGCGGGCCTTCTCAGAAAGCTCGCAAGTCGCCTGGCCTTCTGAGAAGTTTTCTGGGCCTTCCCCGAAGACGCGGAGCATTTCTCAGAAAGCGCGTGGGCTTTGAGGAGTCCCGCCGCCTTTGAGGGCATGAGCTGGTTTCGCAGGCGCTGTCGCCGGCGCTGGTTTCGCCCCGCTGGTTTCGCCGACGGCTGATTTCGCCAGCGCTGGTTTCGCCAGCGCTGGTTTCGTTCCGCAGCGCTGGTTTCGCCCCGCTGGTTTCGCCGACGGCTGGTATCGCCGGCGCTGGTTCCTACGGGCGGACCCGAGCGGGCGGTTCGGGTCGGGTCGGGCGGGCGGACCCTAACGGGCGGGTCTGGTCGGGCGGGCGGGACATTGAAGTGTGTGGCGCGCTCGACCGAGCACGCGCGAACCCTAACGGGCGGGTCGGGCTCGGCGGGCGGACCCTAGCGGGCGGGTCGGGTCGGGCAGTTTCGCCGACGGCAGTTGGTTTCGCCGACGGCAGCTGGTTCCGCTGACGGCAGCTGGTTTCGCCGACGGAGGTGGTTTCGCCGACGGAGCTGGTTTCGCTGGGCGGCGAAACCAGCCATGCGAAACCGGCCGGGCGAAATCAGCTGAGCGAAACAAGCCGTCGGCGAAACCAGCGGTCGCCCTTCTGAGAAGACCTTCTTTCGGTGTTCGATTATGGACCCCTTGTTGACCGCAACCATCCAGTCTCCGCGCCGAGGACCGCTGGAAACCGCCAAAGACCGCAGGAAACCGTCGCAGATCTTCAGAAGACCTCCGAAGACCGCCCGAAGACCGCTGAATACGGCTTAGGAACTATGGGTGACAAGGGGTCCATGGTCGAACACGTAGCTTTTCCTACGTATACTTACTTCCCCCCCTCGCTCGCCGCCGACAGACTCAGGCTGTTTTTCGTATTGCTGTGTGTGTGTGTGGTGTGTGTGTGTGTGTGTGTGATTTTGTGTGTATATGTATTTGTGTGTGTGTGTGTGGGTGTTTGTGTGTGTGTCTGTGTGTGTGTGTGCTCATTTTCTTTTTGGGGCCTTCAGGGACCTTTTTGGAGGAACCCCAGGATCCCTGCAGACCCCACAGACCCCAGAGATCCTTCTCTCGAGGGTAGCTGTTCGGCGGCGAGCCCGGGGGGAAGTGAGAAGGCGCGGGCCTTCTCAGAAGGCTCGGAAGTCCCCCGGCCTTTTGAGAAGTTTTCTGAGCCTTCCCCGAAGACACGGATTTTTTTCAGAATGCGTGAGGGCTTCTGAGACATCCCGCCGCCTTTTGAGAGGGCCTTCTCCTTCTCACTTCCCGCCCTCGCTCGCCGCCGAGATGTTTGAGTTTTTGCTGATCTTGTTTTTTTTCCCAGGTGTCTCTACTTTTTGGGTCTCTGGGAGACTCCTCGTCGCCGCGGCTGGATCGTCATCGAAATTCTGGCCAGAGCGCACCCTCGGACATGTCCCGCGGGCTGAATCTCGTTCTTCGGCGCATGGGCATACAGGGCAAGGACCGTCTCTTCGAGGATCGAGGACCGATTTTCGATGAGCCGTTGAGCATTTCTGTAGGTTTTTGAAGCGTTTGTGCCTCTAGGAGCCTCTGGGGATTTCGGGGACCTCTGTGGACCTTCCGAGCAAAGCTCGACCTAAACGGTGTTTTGGCGCGGTTTTGCTTTTATTTCGTCTTGCAGCAATGGCGGAACGAAGACAGAACGAAGGATGCGAAAACAGAACGAACATGGGAAACTGTGTTTCGGTCGAGTCCCGAGCCCGAGACTTGTGCAGACAGAACTCCCAGGCGACTCGAACACTGAGTGCGCCGGAGGCTAGCCATCTGTGGCGCCTGGATCGGGGTGGGATCGTTTCTTGGCCCAGGGCTGCAATCTTCAAAAAACGGGTCGGGCTGCCCCGAGACGCGCAGCAGCACAGCATCAGAAACTAACACCATCATCATCGTCGTCATCATCAGCATCAAAGCCACCACCATCATCGTCGCCATCATCCTCATCATCATCAACATCACCATCAACATCACCATCACCATCACCATCATCATCATGATCATACTCATCATCGTCATCATCATCATCCTCAGCAGCATCATCATCATCAGCATTGCTCATCAGCTTCATCGTCATCACCATTATCATCATCGATGCTTGCACCGCATACAACATTACGTTATATCGACTGCGCCACATGCTTTGCGCCACACAGTTTCTGCACCGCATGGTACTGTCAGTGCGCCACGCAGCTTGCGCCACATAGCTTGCATCACATCGGTTCTCCATCATCAGAAGAAAGGACTCTACCACTCTCTCGCGCCCGGGGTCGCCGTTTTTTGGTTCAATGTTCATATGTTGTTGCCTCATAGATTGTTTCTTTTTGAATTCATACCATCCCAGGAGGGCCTGTATCGCTTCCCCCCATAATCCCCGTCATATTGTACAATGCGCGTGTGTTCTTTTGTATCAGTAAATTGTTTTTCAAGAGCCCCTGGCGGGAACACGCACGAAATCCACGCGCGCGCACATGTCGAAATCATGCCAATCACATCCGTCCTGCAAGTAATTTAACATATCACGTGGACTTTCCATCAATCAACTTGCAGTTGGAGGCTCAAAGGAGGCTCAAAGGAGGCTCAAGGGAGGCATGGGAGGTTTCTGTCCGAGGCGAGCCCGCAGCGGCCATGGCTGCCCGTGGCATGTCCGCGACTGGAGCAGAAGACGCCGCGGTCGAGACAGCAACGACATCTCGCAGAAGACGCAAGAAGGCATCGGTGGGTGACCGCTTGAAGGAGATCACAGACATGCTGTTCGTTCTAGACGAGAAGGTTGATACAATGGAGTCCGCCTTTGCAAGCATGAAGTCGACGAATACTTGTCCGTCTCCTCAGGAATTACACCGGTCGGGCATTACCCA